GCGAGGGGAGACGCGGAGCAAAGGGACGGGGGACAGCTACGGCAGCATCCCGCGGGAGAGGGTGGGAACCCCCGGCCTACAATAGCCTTCGGCTGCTAGTTTCTGCCCTGAAGCCGTACGGGCCCGATCCCAATTTCAGTGGCACTGTTTGCAGAGCCGGTTGCTACTGTGCATAACAGGGAGGGAACCGAGCCCAAAATAAACTCCGCTGACAGTCCCAACACGCGAGGGATGGAAAGGAACTACAGAGCAAGAAAGTGCGTGTTTGTTGGGGGGGGGATCAGAGAGTTTTACCCACTCATTCATCAAATAAAACAGCAAAACAATTAACTTGAATTACTATTTCTAACCTACTTCCACAATTTGTTTGGCATTAACTTTCTAGGATTTGGTTGTTATTATAGAGGCTGGGGGTTTTTTTAAGGGAAAACAAAAAAAAAAAAAACCCCCTTGCACTGTTTGCAGAGCCGGTTGCTACTGTGCATAACAGGGAGGGAACCGAGCCCAAAATAAACTCCGCTGACAGTCCCAACACGCGAGGGATGGAAAGGAACTACAGAGCAAGAAAGTGCGTGTTTGTTGGGGGGGGGGATCAGAGAGTTTTACCCACTCATTCATCAAATAAAACAGCAAAACAATTAACTTGAATTACTATTTCTAACCTACTTCCACAATTTGTTTGGCATTAACTTTCTAGGATTTGGTTGTTATTATAGAGGCTGTGGTTGTATACAGGGAAATCCATAAGTAAACATGCCCTTCTGACTGAAACCAACCCAGCGTGGCTCTGGGGACAAGGGCTCCTTTGGCTCTCTTGAAAGAGCTATTTCCTACAGGGCAGCTGCCAAATGGTTAAACTGGTATTAGTGGCTGACCACAATTGTTGGTTGGCTCGGAAAAAAGAGCTGTTATTTTAAAGCTGGAGCGGTAAGACTCAGAAACCACCACATACTCTTATGGGCTGGGCGTAACTGCCACCCTTCTTTTACGATAGCCAGAAGAAACAGTTGCCCTCTTTAAGGATAGATAGTGAAAAGAAGCCTCCACCCTGGGCTGAGATGCTGGCAGGCGGCGGGGTTTACCAGACACTGCCCTGTGCAAGCGCTTATGGCTATAACAACATATGGCCACAGGTTGCCTTTGCCGGAAGAGATCAAAACAAAACGGCTGGTGAGGCATAGAGGAGTGCCAACCTCCTGCTGACAGATCCACTGGGAGGCGTGCAGAATTCCACCCAGGATTTTAGCCAAAGTCCTGCCTGGATTTCTCCCTTAGGGTACACCTTCTCAGCTGGTCTAGCAAGCATTGTCATCCGTACACAGAAACAGAACCACTGAGGCTTATAGAGACCTTACACCCATGCCCTTGGGCTTTCCAAGGCATGTATGGTACAACCAGTCTTACTAGCCTCTCGCCCTATTTCTACCTTCTAAAACCAAAAGCAGAAAACAAGGGGTTCATTCATAAACATTAATGAGGCTACCTGAGGGACTGTATTCTGTAGCGTCATCATAAAATAAGACAAGCAATACTACTGCAGGATAATCTCTTTGTAGCTGACAAAACTCCCTCTCACCTATTTTTAGGGATACTTTAAAGTGTTTGAAACTAGTTGAATAATTAAGGCTTTTTTTCTTGGCTCTGGAGTTGCACAATTTTTTGATCTGAAGCGCTTTCTCCCTCAAACCACAATC